TGGATGGATGATGGATAGATAGATAGATAGATAGATAGATAGATAGATAGATAGATAGATAGATAGATAGATAGATAGATAGATAGATAGATAGATAGATAGATAGATAGATAGATAGATAGATAGATAGATAGATAGATAGATATGTGTGTGTATGTGTGTGTGTGTGTGTGTGTGTGTGTGTACCGTGTTTAAATTTGATTAAACTTCATTTCAAAGCCACAGCCCTCACAAACCACTTTGTTGTTCACGGGTGGGTTATTTTCATTTCAGCACCCCCCACCCCCCATTCATACTCCCATCCCACTCTTGGCCTAGTTCCTTTGGTGAGAGCCTTCACTGACCCTGTGTGGGCTGGACCTGACAGCCTGTTTGAGTGAGTAATATGGCCCTGATGGCAGTGTGTGTTTGCAGACTTATTGTGTGAACTCACAATCTTGGGATCGATGGCCTCAGCTGCTGTAGTCATACCGTCCAAACACTTCCCTACGATGGGCAGCACTTGTCGGTCTACATCTGCGAACGTCTTCATGCACACCCCTATTCTGTCAATTCGCCTCTCCTCCATGTCCTGAAGTTTCTGCATCACAACACAGAAATAATCACACATTAATGTGGCACATTATTAGACACTACTGGATACAAAGAATGATGTTGTGAGTGAGACAGAAGGAGCTGTGTTTCAATTTTGTTGTATTTACCTGAAATATATTAGGAATAATTGTGTGGTAATGTTCATTCTGCTCCTGGTTGAACTTCTGCAGGTAGGCGGAATAATCACTCTTACTGTCCAAAGCCATCTGGTTCCTCATCTGAGATTGTTGTCGTGCCTAAAGAAAGAAAACACACACACGACGACACATTTCCTTTACTAAACCTGTGCATACTCTGATTAACACCGACAAATGGGTTGAACGCACACACACGGCCCAATTAAAAACAGCTACATCAAAATGTGTGTGTTCACGTTTGTGTAGGTGCACACATGAACAGAAAGCTCGCAGACATAGGTGCAGCACCGGCCTTTGGATCTATTGTAGGACGGAGCAAATATCTATAAATAAATTAAAGTGGTGGCAGAATGAGGGATTTGAAGTTGGATGACCAGCCCAATCTGGCCTGTGTGTCTACCGTCAATAATGCTGATCATTCTTAAGCTAGTTCAGAGTAAAAAGAGGCAGAAACCCAGCAGGGACAGCCTATTATGGGACCACAGCAAGCAGATGGAGATGAGATAATCTCAGCTAGACAGTGTGGGTTTTATGTGTGTGTATGCTAGTATTCATGCTGCTAATTACTTCTGTATATCTGTTTCCTTTTTCCATCAGATCTGTAGCCAGTCCACCCATCCAAACAATGTTTCCACCAGGTTGGCCAGAACAAAGTCACCTCATGAGCCTGTAAATGTTATCATCATATGGTCTGCTAATGCATATGGTCAGAAACAAACACAGGTTCTGTATTTAACCAATAACTGTGTCTCCCACGATCACATATGGGGTCAGAAACGATGTAATGAAGAAAATGGAGCACATCAGAGTCTAGACACTCACATACAGAGACAGACTGGTATAATGGTATGAAATGAGTGTCACAGTCTTAATAAACAAAGTGAAATCCAGCAAAAAGCTAAAAAGCACACATAATAGTCCAGCAGTAAGAACTCTTCAAGCCAATCCATCAGCATGCTTTAGTGCAATTGTGCTACACTGGTGTGTGTGCATGCAAAATGTTCTGCCGATTGTGTTGAGCAACAGTGAGGTTGTCACCACGGAAACAATACAGGTAGCACAACTTTGACAGAAACTGCTGAGCCTGCCGTCACATCACTTCCTGTTGTCATTTCCTGGAAATTACTGATCATACTGTATTTACGGCTCAGTGTGCAATGCTTCTGTTACTCTGCACACATTTCGTACATCCATTCATCCAAGTATCCATCCAAGCATCCATCCATCCATGCATCTATCCATCCATCCATACATCCATCCATTCATCAATACATAAATCCATCCATCCATCCATGCATCCATCCATCTATCCATGCATCTTTCCATCCATCATCCATCCATCCATTCATCCATCTAGCCACTCATCCATCCATCCATCCATGCATCCATCCATCTATCCATCCATCTATCTATCCATCATCCATGCCTCCATTCAGCCTTACATCCATCCATCCATGCATCCAGCCAGACATCCATCCATGCATCCATCCATCCATCCATCCATCCATCCATGCATCCATCATCCATCCATCTATCCACTCATCCATCCATGCATTCATCCATCTATCCATCCATCTATCTATCCATCATCCATGTCTCCATTCATCCTTCCATCCATCCATCCATGCATCCATACATTCATTCAGCCAGCCAGACATCCATCCATACATCCATCCATCCATCCATGCATCCATCATCCATCATCCATCCATCCATTCATCCATCTATCCACTCATCCATACATCTATCCATGCATCCACCCATCTATCCATCCAGCATCCATCCATCCATCCATCCATCCATCATCCATCCATCCATCCATCCATCCATCCATCCATCCATCCATCCATCATCCATGAAGCAATTTATCCATCCATCCATGCATCCATGCATCCATGCATCCATTCACTCATCCATCCATCCATCCATCCATCCATCCATCCATCCACCCATCAACCAGTTATCAATGACTAAAAAGATAACCTATAAATAAAAGCTTGTTGTAATTAGTCTGGCCTTCCACAGTGATGTAATGATTTCATTCTGACACAGATACAGGTCGCTGACAGAGCTGAAAGCCACTGTTCACAGTCAGACAGGAGCTAACGGACCTGACTCAGCTCAGACAATGTGTGCCCCACAAATATCAAAGGTTTCTGCACACTGGACCTACCTTAAGGGAAGTTCGCTTCAGGGCATGGCATAAAGTAAATAAAGTAAAACACAAACACACACACACACACACACACACACACACATAAAAGTGTTGTTAGCTATTTCCAGCTGAACAAGAAGTTGCCATAGATGCACTTCCTGAACCATCTGCTGTGTCAAGACTTGAAAAGAGAAGTTGGTACACAATCACAGTAAACACTAATGTGCCGGTGTTGTAAAGTGCAGATTAGTGCTCTTAGTGGTCCTTACTATTAAGAAGCTGCATGAAATCAGACCAGTGTCTCAAGGGAGAGTGTCAGTGTGTAAGGGTTAGGGTCAGGGTTCTTCACACAGCTATAACTTTCTGATTGTCTGGGCAGCAAATTCAAACCCCAAACTGGGGGATTGTTTGAAGGAAGAGAGGAAACTGCAGCTCGGAACAAAGCCACAAAACGTTGGTTACGTACTGTAACCCCAGATTCTATGAGTATAAGCGTAGCCCTTTAAGGCTGTCGCTTGGTGGGTTTATCCCGTTATGCGTAGCATTGCACTGAAAAAATTTAGTCCACGCACACCTGCCATGTGGGCCCTACCCGGTCCGTATAAATTACGTTAAGAGCGGGAAATCGGCTCCCAAAAATAGCTTTTTCTTCAGCCATTTAGGAGCCAGTGAGGCCCAACGCTTAAAGGGCTACGCTTCTACTCATAGAATCTGGGGTTACAGTACGTAACCAACGTTCTATTTCGTATAAGCTTCGCCCTTTAAGGCTGTCGCTTGGTGGGTTAAGGGCGAAGCAGATGTGGTCCTCGCCTCACTGGGTCCATTCGAACACCGTATGAAGCAGAAGCTTGCCCAAAAAACGTCTTGTCACTCAGCTCCCCATGTGCGTAATTACGCATTGCGTAATTATGTGAGCCATGCACAGACGCATGTTGTGTAACTATGCATTCATGGCTGAACAGTATAGACAGATTAATAATAACAAATGAACTGATTATTAATCAAATGAACTGATTGGTAACAATAGTCATGAACTGATTAGTGACAATAGAACCAAAATAACAGACACAACTTGTGACTGATAACACATCTCACACTGTGAAGCATGCAGACAGATGTGAGCTTAAAGAGAGTTCCATGAAAACAACAATATTCATTCTGTTAGAGCACTAAGGACATAATGTGTCATGGAACAGGCCGTCACATCACGTAGATAAGAGCGAATGAATGAGCAGGGTGTTGACCACGCGGCCGCAGTGCAAATGTCCTGCATTGTCATACCATATGCAAGGCAGTCGAAGATGCGATGCCCCTGGTCAAGTGTGTCCTGAGGTTGACAGGAGGCTCTAAATCTGATGCTCTGTAGGCTTCAGAAATGGCCTCATACAGCCAGTGTGACAAGCGCTGGGTGGATAACGGGCGACCTGCAGATGCATCTCTATAATGCACAAACAAATGTTGAGTTTGGCGCATTACAGCTGTGCACGCTATGTAACACGTCAACGCTCGCACCGGACAGAGAAGATGGAAAGATGCTTCTTCTTCTGATCTGTGGGGGGGGGAGGGAAAACCCCTCCAACGATATCGCTCTTGATTTAAAAGAGCTTGTGATGTTTTTAGGCATAAAAGCTGGGTTTGGTCTTAAATCAGCTGAGCTGCCATCAGCCTGAATTCTAAGACATGACGGAGCGACAGAGAGAGCAGATAAATCACTCACCCTCTTAGCGGATGTTAAAGCCAGCAACAGGGCTGTTTTAAGAGACAAGAATTTAAGTGGAACCTGATTCAGTGGCTCAAATGGAGCTTTGATCAGGGCTCGCAGGACCAGCGTTAAATCCCACTGAGGAACAAGTGGGCGTGAAACAGGCCTGCGTCTCTGTACACCTTTTAGAAAACGCTTCATCAGCGGGTGATTAAAAGCTATTCTGTCTCCGAACCCTTCGTGGCAGGAAGAGATGGCTGCAGCGTACGTTTTAATCGTGCTGAAAGCCAACTTCCTGTCCATCAGCTGTGTAGAAAAAACAGCACGCTGCCTAATGGACATGAGGTGGCCTCTACACCTTTCTCTGTACACCAGCGCTGAAAAACTGTCCACTTTGATGTGTACAGCGCTGTGGTAGATGTAGCACGTGAATCCTGGATTGTGCGCACTGCATCCTGTGGGAGACCCATCCTCTCTAAGCAGAACCACTCAGCGGCCAGACCCACAGGTGCTGGCCTATTTTTGGGTAACTCCTGATCGCTCCTCCTGCCTGGAGGAAAGCGTCCTCCCTCCACGGCAGTTTCCACGGGTGCCCCGACAGTAGACGTTGCAGGACTGGGAACCATGGTGCGTTCACGCGCTCGGGGGCCACCAGGAGAGCTGTCAATCCCTCCTCCTGAACTCGGTTCAGGAACCGTAAAATCAGAGGAGGTGGAGGAAACGCGTACAGAAGCGTTTTGGGCCATGGGCTGTGGGCAAACGCATCCACACCCAGCGGTAGTTTGTCTCGCGGGCTCAGGGAAAGCCATAGTTGACACTGAGCGTTCTCTCGTGTCGCAAACAGGTCCACAGCTGCTTTGCCAAATTTCTGTCACGTCTGAGTCATCAGGTCTGGATGGAGAGTCCAGTCCCCGTGACGTGGGCCGCCCCTGGACATCACATCTGCCCCTTTGTTCAGAACACTGGGTATGTAAACTGCTCTGATAGAGAGTAGATTTTGGTGAGCCCAACACAGTAGCTTTCGCGCAATGTGTAACATCTGGGCTGAGCACATACCCCCTGCTGGTTATGTACGCAGCAGTCACCTTGTTGTCTGTGTGAATCAACACGTGTTGATTCTGTAGCACAGGAGCAAAGTGCTGAATCACGTTCAGCACCGTGAAACACTCCAAAACATTTATGTGGGCTGATGTGTGATGGGGCCACAGCACCCCTACTGCTTGAGATAGGCATGTCCCCCCC